TCCATGCATCCTTGCGTTCCTTATTTGACGGTAATATGTGATCCCCCTTATTTTTACATTCTGGCACGATGCAGTAGGTTTCTGGCATGGTCTATAACGGGCTAACCCCCGTTAATATCGCCCTATCAAAGGACCGCGCAGCGACAACTTTTTGTTTACGTGACGTAATGTAAGACCAATGCAGCGCTAGCGCCATCTATACGATTGACCAGGAACGATAATCGACGCCGGTTTGCCATTCAATCAAAGCGCAATTAACGCTGGCTTACGCTTATCTTTATATTATCCGAGAGAAATGTTGTGAACAGTGTTGAGGGAAGGATCCAAAACTTTTACAGATATAAGATTAAAGCTTTAAATTTTATTTTTAAAGAATAATATGACGCCTTTAATTTTTTTTTTTCGGGGGGGGGGGGGGGGGGTGGCATAATTTATATTTTATGTGCTCAATAATAATAATAATAATACATTTAAAATGAAACATATAATTATAGAAAATAAAAGAGTAAACAATAAACAAAGTTAAATAAAAAGGAAATTAAAATAAATGTTGGAATTTGTATGTAACCCTTGTTTTGATTTTAGAAAGTATAAGTATGCCACAGGTTACTAATTTACCCCATTTCATTGACCACGCAAAGCGCAGGGTTTTTTCCCGTAAATATGTCTTAGGATTCGTACGGAGTGGGATGGACTGATTTTAGGGCATAGATAGGAAGGAGAGTGTCTGGGGAAAAGAATTAAAATTTCAAATATTGAGAAATGTTGCCTTTGAACGTATGAAGGGTGTAAATAGGCCATGTTTACCTTCTTCTCAATGGGTAAGTGAAATATGCGGGGTATTGGGGTAACTCACAGTGTCTTGGAAAGACTTGCACACTGTGGATTCTCCCTAGATTCAGAAATATTTTAAGGCTATAATAAAAAATAAAAAAAAACACTAAATTCCAAGGTGCATCAGACATGCCACTGAAGAAAATATTTAATTTTTTTTCTTAGATCCACCTCTCCTAGATTCTGCCATAAATGCATTTGGGGGGGGGAGGGGGGCTCTTTCTTTTGGAAATACTTCAGAATGCTCTATATATTTTTGCTTTATATATTTTTGAGGTCTATTTGATGCTTTGCATCAATTTAACTTGTTCAATTTTTTTTTTTTTTGAGCCAATACAAATATATATATATTTTGATGATGAAAATAATAAAAAATAAAAATATTTGAACTGAGTACTCGATCCGTTTTTCGCCGGGGGGGGGGGGGGGTATTCTGTCTAAAAAAAAAAAAAAACCTTTATAAAGTACAAGAAAAGAGGACACGGGGTGTCTGACTGGTGTTTTCAAATACTATTATTATTATATTTATGACGCAGTATTTTTCTCTGTTCCCCGTCATTGCAAGTTTAAGAGTAATGTCACAAAGGCTTGAGAATTTGTTTATGGTACAGAAGAATTCAAACTAATGTTTTCCACAGTTTAACTCTTTATTACTTTTTTTTTATTGATTCATTTATAAGATTTCACTGATCTGTTACAAATTATTGAGGGTGACGTCACAATGGCTTGAAAACTCTCGATTTGCACACTAAATATGCACCTCTTAGCTGGAGGTGAAACAAGTGGGCGGATCATGGATCTTCAGTTTTCAAAGACCGATTTCTGTACTAACACATTCCAATTTCCTTTCCTCTTGTGATATTTAATTACCTGGTTAAAGGAGAACTTTTTGCAAACAATTAAAAGTACGTGTGCTGAACAACAAAGACAGTATGCCTTATATTACGTACAATGCTTAATCGCCATTTTGCTTTAGAAAAGTTCGGGAAAAGAGTGTACCTGTGACGTCGTATTTTACGACTGTGACGTCGAGTAGTGGTTGTCTGCATTAGGAAGCTGCTGTAAATTTGGTAGTGTTTACATCGCTGCGTTTTTCTGGGCGTTTCGTTGAATTTAAAAGTTGTTACGGTTGTGAAAACATATGTAGGTGTTTGCAGTTGTCGTGCTGAATACGCATCGGTATGTATTTTCGTTTGCTGCGAGTCATTTCTTTAGTCGGGTCTTCATTCATGGGGACTATGAAGCCGTGCGTTGTTGGCAATGTTTAATGGATATCTACAACTCGGAAGGAACGTTTTGCGATAACAGTGGAGTCGTAGGATAATTTAATGACGGACATTCGATGGATTATTTTAATATCGCCGTTTGATTGCAGAAAACTGCAGAATTTAGCGAGAAAATAATGACGCATGCGCAGATGGGGGTTAGTCGATTTTTGATGCCAGGCATCGACTAACCCCCATCTGCGCATGCGTCATTATCTTCTACAGATACAACACTAGAACACCAGATACACTGTATTTATAAAAAGACATTTACCCTAGAAATAATAATTATGACTGAAAATAAACAATAAAAATATGAAATTGGAACACAATAAAAACATGAATGAATAAAAATAAACAATAATTCAATTATATTAGCTTCTTATATACACACTTACCCATTTAGACAGTATCTACTACTGTGAAAACTGATATTTCAAGCAAAACTAAGTTAGTTTTCAGGCACTACACCTGATTTCAAAATTTTCTGAAAATCCAGGATTTATAATTAGTCTTAGATTAAATAATTCCCTGTTAAGACATTTTGCAAGTTTAGGTCTATGGTTTCAGTGACCTCTCAACAGCGGTATATTGTCATTTTTATTACGTAAAAATATTGTCTCCGTGGGTTTTTTTTTTCTTCAGATTTTATGCATATAGCATACAACTTTGAGATATACCTAGGGAAGGTAAATTACTGAAACTTAGAGCATACGTGATATGTTTCTGCTAGGAATAAGGGAAACTGCCCAGTTACGTATGCATGTTATGCACTTTGGTTTAAAAATGACAACCCCCCCCCCCCCCCCCCCCCCCCCCCCCGATGATTTTGTAAAAAAAAATTAGTGCTGCAACATATTTTATTTTCTTTACCTTATTTTAAACCTAACTGATGATTTTATCTTCATTAACGTCCCTCTTGAGAATTTTTCTCTCGTATGGAGACATTGCCATTACCGGTGAAGTTCCTGCCATGAGGGGATGCTCCGCTTAGCGGTGCTCTTGTTTCTCCCTTATTTTTAACATTTATTCCCAGAATCTGTCACCACCCCCTCCCCTTTCAAAATCAACTGATCTCGTCTCTTAAGGTTAAAATGTAATTATTGTCGATTTTTCTTTTCTTTAAATTAATTTCAAAATGGTATTTATCTTCTTTCTAATAATACAAGCAATGTTCAGCACAGTCTGTTCCCCGTTAGATTTATGGTTGTGAGTGTGACATCACATCGACTTTGAAACTCGAGATTTGCACACTAAATATGCACCTCTTAGCTGAGGTGAAACAAGTGGGCGGATCATGGATCTTCAAATTTTTGTAACCTGTTTTCTGTACTAAATACTCCCCACTTTTGTCTCCTCTTCTGATATTTGATTACCTAAGTAAAGGAAAACTTTAATCTAAAGGAATAAAGTTTGTGTGTTGTACTACGATGACAGAATACCTTATATTACATACAATGCCTATTCACCATTTTGACACAGAAAGTTCGGGAAAACAGTGTACATGTGACGTCGCACTTCGAAAAGTGACGTCGAACAGGAGTTGTCTGCAGTGTTGACATCGTCGTATTTCTCTGGCAATTTGTTGGATTTAATCGTTGTTACGACTGTAAAAATACTTGTTAGTGTTTTCGGTTATCGTAATGAATATGCATTGGTATGTATTTTCGTTCTCTGCGAGTTATTTCTTTAGGAGATCGGCATGTGTAGTCTTCATTCATGGATACATGTAGAACGGAATACTTGGGATTTTTAAGCGCAGCATGACAGTACAAATACTTCTACCGTGTTAATTACCGTTTAATTTGTACATTGCGTAGACTGATTAACAATACAGACCGAATACACATTGTATATGGATTTACCTATCTCAACTGGCGCATGCTCAAAAGGGGTTAGTCGCCGCTGAGCGGCGACTAACCCCTTTAGGCATGCGCCAACTAACCCAATAAAATTTTCATCTTACCTGCCATTACAAGTAACCTTGTTCACACAAATAAATAAACAAACACAACAATAAACAAACATACAAATAAAAAGAAAAAATAATTACAAGAAATAAAATAAATTATTTATAGAGAAATAAACAAAACCTTTACTCAATACTGTATTAGACACAAAATGCAGAGAATTAAGGCAACATTTATTTTTCTTTTGAGCTACAAGTACATGTAAGGAGACTTAGTTGCTTATTTTTTTCAATTCTTTATATTCCGAATGAAATAATTATTCCGAATTAAAATAATACCCTGTTTAATGATAAATTGTGCTGACAAGGTCATTGTATCGACCATAGAACTTATGAAATGATGACTTTAAACGAGACTGCTGATATTCTTGTTTCATCAACTTGTTTGTCAATAGCTTACCTGGTTTAAGAAATTGTTCATACGTAGAGCATGCTCTTGAGTATCGAATCAACTGAAAGATATAAACCCCCTATGCAGGTGATGAAGGTATATTGCTGCATAAGTAAGGGAAGTTGACGATTGAACAGTTAAAGTCATCACGTTTATCATAAAGCTTGGTTGTTAGATTACTATTAACATCTTTTTCTAGATATATATCCAAATATGAAATATATGTGTCAGACTCTGTGGTATCTTTTATTTCAAGCTCACCGGTATATATCGTATCGACATAAGAATGGAAATAATCATTGTTAATTGACAATACATTGTCGATATATAGGTAGTGTAGATTCAAGATTGTTCAAATCATGATACCCTTAGGGTAGGGTGGGGCCACAACAGGGAATCAGTCATATTGACTTTGGTGAGCATCGTGGCCAATGGGCCTTTTATCTTGTAATATAAACTGCAATCTTTTTCAAAAGAAAATGTCTTCTTGTTTTAAATTATTCAAAGTTTATTGCTTTTCCTAATTTTTTTTTTTTGTCAGATTACCTTGAATTCTGGATGAAGTCAGTTCATCAATACAGCAGTGATAAAGCCCCAGTCATCCTGGTTGGTACACACAGTGAGAATAAAACAAAAGAGGTACACATATAAACTTTATTTCTTAAAAAAAAAGTAATATTCCTTTATTCAAAATATTAACCACTTTATTAGTTAACATGATCAGAAATTGAAGAAGGTGAAGAAAAATGTGACTCAAACTTCTGAAGCATTTAAGCTCATCTGAGCTTTAAGGTTTTTGGGTCACATTTTGTCCAGCATCAGACTCTCTGTTTGTCCATCTGTAAACTTGAAATATTTTTGGCTTTGAATGAACAAAGATCAGAACAGCTTATGCAATAGTAAGGGGTCTGTCGTCCATCTGTATGTCTCTCTAGCTATATGTCTGTCTGTTTGTCTGTAAATTATTTTTAGCTCACCTGAGCTGAAAGCTCAAGTGAGCTTTTCTGATCACCCGTTGTCCGTCGTCCGTCCGTCTGTCCGTCCATCTGTCCGTCCCTCTGTAAACTTTTCACATTTTCAACTTCTTCTCAAGAACCACCGGGCCAATTTTAACCAAACTTGGTACAAAGTACCCTTGGGTGAAGGGGAGTTTAAATTGTTAAAATAAAGGGCCAAGTCCCCTTACAAGGGGAGATAATCAAGAAAAGATAAAAATAGGGTGGGGTCATTAAAAAATCTTCTTCTCAAGAACCACTGGGCCAGAAAAGCTGAAACATATGTGGAAGCATCCTGGGATAGTGTAGATTCTAAATTGTTAAAATCATGACCCCCGGGGGTAGGGCAGGGCCACAATAGGGAATACAAGTTTTACATTGAAATATATAGAAAAAAATCTTTAAAAATCGTCTTCTCAAGAACCACTGAGCCAGAAAAGCTGAAACTTATGTGGAAGCATCCTGGGATAGTGTAGATTCTAAATTGTTAAAATCATGACCCCCGGGGGTAGGGCAGGGCCACAATAGGGAATCCAAGTTTTACATTGAAATATATAGGTAAAAAATCTTTAAAAATCTTCTTCTCAAGAACCACTGAGCCAGAAAAGCTGAAACTTATGTGGAAGCATCTTGGGGTAGTGTAGATTCTAAATTGTTAAAATCATGACCCCCGGGGGTAGGGCAGGGCCACAATAGGGAATCCAAGTTTTGCATTGAAATATATAGGAAAAATCTTTAAAAATCTTCTTCTCAGGCACCACTGGGCCAGAAAAGCTGAAACTTATGTGGAAGCATCCTGGGGTAGTGTAGATTCTAAATTGTTCAAATCATGACCCCCGGGGGTAGGGCAGGGCCACAATAGGGAATCCAAGTTTTACATTGAAATATATAGGAAAAATCTTTAAAAATCATCTTCTCAAGAACCACTGAGCCAGAAAAGCTGAAACTTATGTGGAAGCATCCTGGAATAGTGTAGATTCTAAATTGTGCAAATCATGACCCCCGGGGGTAGGGCGGGGCCACAATAGGGAATCCAAGTTTTACATTGAAATATATAGGAAGAATCTTTAAAAATCTTCTTCTCAAGAACCACTGAGCCAGAAAAGCTGAAACTTATGTGGAAGCATCCTGGGATAGTGTAGATTCTAAATTGTTCAAATCATGACCCCCGGGGGTAGGGCGGGGCCACAATAGGGAAACATTGAAATATATAGGAAAAATCTCAAGAACCACTGGACCAGAAAAACTGAAACTTATGTGGAAGCATCCTGGGATAGTGTAGATTCTAAATTGTTCAAATTATGACCCCTGGGGGTAGGGCGGGGCCACAATAGGTATTACAATGAGGGAAGTCTGGTAATGAACAGCATGGCCAAAGTTACTCAGGTGAGCGATGTGGCCCATGGGCCTCTTGTTCAAAGTGCTATTTCTCCTACAGTGTTAGTTCCATTTCAATATAACATGGTTCACAAGTAGGCTACTTTAGGATACATTAATCTGTGTATCGATTTTTAGCTCTTCTGAGCCAAAGGCTCAAAGAGCTAATGCATTGGCCATTTGTGCGGTGTGCGTAAACTTTTTAGAATATGCGCCATAACTCAAGAACCCCTCGGCCAATAATTGTCAAATTTGATACAGGGTATCTTTGTCCCAAGGGCTCACGTTTAAAGTAAAACTAGGGTTGTGACCCCTAAACAAGGGGAGATAATTAGGTAAATAAAAACAAAAGTACTGGTTGCTAAAAAATCTTCTCAAGAACCACTTGGTAGATTATCACCAAATTTACACAAAAGGATGGGGATATGTTGTAGATTAAAATTTGCAAGAGGAATTGCCCTGGGGCAAGGGGCGTGGTCTCAAGGTCATTTTAAAGTTGACCAAAATTACATTTTATTAAGATGTTGATATTTTTGCTTACTATAAAGACTTGGATCATCAAATCTTGTCAGTTGATGCATCTGAGGACCTCATATCATATTGACTCAAAAAAAGGTCATGGTGACCTTCTTTTTAAATTTTGTGGCCATTCCTTTAAAATGATTTAGAGGCATATTTTGAACAGTTTAAGGCCTATGATCATCAAACTTTGTCAGTTGATGTATCTTAAGTCCTCGGAGTACGTAACCTAAAAAGTAGGTCACCTTGACCTACTTTTTGAATTTGACGGATAATCTTTTTAAAAGCAATTAAGGTTATTAATTCGAATACTGAGGGGTTTAGAATCATTAAATCTTGTAAGATGATGCATCTTGGGCCATAAAACATGTTTATTAAAAAGTAGGTCACAGTGACCTACTTTTTATACCCCCAAGGAGAGGGGTTATACTGTTTTACCCTTGTGTGTATGATTGTCCATGTGTCCTTGTGTCTGTCCGTAACAAATTTTTTTCGCAGTTTTCTCAGCAAGTACTCATCACAGATGCTTGAAATTTTAGCCTAATCTTTGTTTAGGCATGCCATATGGTGGGATTCATTTCAGTTTGAATCCGATGTCAACTTCCTGTTTATCCATGCGTCTGTCCGTTAGAAATTTTTGTTGCAGTTTTCTTAGCAACTACTCATCACAGATACTTGAAATTTTAGCACAATCTTTGTTCAGGCATGCCATATGGTGGGATTCATTTTTGTTCAAATACGATGACTTCGTGTTTTTCTCTGTGTCGGTCTATACCATTAATAAGATACAGACACGTGCAAAAAGTATTCGGTCAAAATGGCGGCGTGTTTACAGTGACAACGGTAGTATGAAGAAATCTACGAGCTAAAATTTCAATTAAAATACTTTAAAAATAAAAAAAAAATCAATTACTTACGATTTAATACTTCGTTAGGTGTCCTTTAAGTCTGATAACATGTAAAATGCGCTTGGGGATGGAGCCATACAAGCTTTTAATGTATGCAGGCGTGATACTTGTCCATATACGCCGAATTTCCTCGATCAAATTGTCTCTAGATTTTATCATAGCAGTGCGTGACTGAAGTTTTCTTTTGATGTGTAACCAAACATTTTCAATAATATTTAAGTCTGGTGATTGAGCGGGCCAGCTTAAACAGTTAATTCGATTTCTAGTTACATACTCTTGAGTTGACCTGGCTCGGTGGACGGGTGCATTGTCATCCTGAAAATAGTAACCATTTTGAGGGAAATGTCTTACGAGAACAGGCCAAAGGTTTTCTTCTAAGATATCTTGGTATTTAGTAGCATTGATATTTCCATCTACTGGCGACATAGTTCCATCACCCTCTCTGCAGATGCACCCCCATATCATAACTTCTTGTTTGGCTTGAGAAGTCCTCTGTTGAACAAGGTCAGGCCTCCATCCTTCGTCATTTTTTCTCCAAATCCTAATCCTTTCATCGTGCCCCATTATAATTTTACACTCATCTGTCTTTTCCCCGACACCAAGCAAGCTGCTTCTCACGATTTATTTCTTTTATAACCAGTTTCTTCTTAGCAACACTTCTCCTGTAATTATTTTTGTGCAAATTATGCTGTACTGTCCTTTTACTGGTTCTGGTCTTTCCTCGTTAAATTTTGCCGTTATGTCAGAAAGTGAACTTCTACAATTTGTTTTCACAATCCTCTCTAACTTTCGATAGTCACGGGGCCCGATTTTCGGAGGTCGGCCGCTTCTGGGTTTGTTTTCAACAGATCCCGTGTCAGAAAATTTTCGACAAACGTCAATAACAGTTGATTTAGGTAATTGTAACATTTCACTTATCTTTCTCCGAGAATAACCTTTCTGCATTAACTCCACAATGATGTTTTTGACATCTGACCCCATCTCTTTTCCTTTCCGACCCATCTTTTTTAGTTTTGCTATATTTTCTCTTAATTTGTAAACAGCAGACGAAAATATTGTCACGTGATTTATCATGTGACTAAATTTTCAAAATTTATACAGATCCACTTCCTGTGATGTGATCATAAGAGGGCAAGGTCATTTTCCTTTTTATTTTCTTCTTCAAGTGTAAACCCGCCGCCATATTTGACCGAATACTTTTTGCAAGTGTCTGTATTTTCGTCGCCGTTTTCTCAGCAATACTCATCACAGATGCTTGAAATTTTAGCCTAATCTTTGTTTAGGCATGCCATTTGGTGGGATACATTTTTGTTTGAATCTGATGTAAACTTCCTGTTTATCTGTGCGTTTGTCCGTACCAAATTTTCGTCACAATTTTCTCAGCAACTACTCAGCGCAGATGCTTAAAATTTTAGCACACACAATCTTAGTTTAGGCATGCCATATGGTGATTCATTTTTGTATGAATTCGATGTCAACATGAGAGTGAATATTCACATCAGAGCGGGGGTATTACTAGTGACCATTCGCTCACAGACTTCTTGTTTAACTTTGCAGGCATTTGATTTCAAAGCATTTTAGAGACATAATTTGAACATTTTATGGCCTATGATCATAAAACTTTTTAAGTATTTGCATCTTGGGTCCTCGAAAAACATCAACTGAAAAGTAGCTCACTGTGACCTTCTTTTGGAATTTTATGGCTATATTTAAATATTTAGGGTAATATTTTGCTTAGAATCATCAAAATTTGTCAGTTGATGTACCTTGGGTCCTCAGAGTATGTCAACTGAAAAGTAGATCATCGTGACCTATTTTTCAATTTTTATGACTATGATTA